GAGGAACCCTGAAAGAAAGACAGGGAAGGGGTTGTAACCTCCCAGGGCTTCCCCGAATAAACTCAAGTTGCAATGAACTTCTGCTGATGCTGCCAAATTTCAGTTGCTTGGTCCCACCTTCATCAGGTAAATCTCAGAAGGGTATTTACCTGTACAGGCTGCGCATTAAGAACCGGCTGTATCTCGTCCCTAGTTATACTTGCTTCTCCAGTATAATATTCATTTTTTTGGCTCAACTGACTTGTTCCAGCTTTTAAAATAGTTGCGTTGGGTTTTTTTGGATAGATTTTTTTTTTTTTTTCCCCACCCCTGTGGGTGCTATATCAAATATAAATGGAAAATTGGGCTGCTGCTTTGTTTGTCTGGGAATGGCAAACCTGTCTTTCGAGCACCGGAGGAGTGAAACAGCCTAAAGCTAAAGGAATGTAGAGAGGAGCCGGTGATGCCGACGCTAACGACTGCCTTGCCCCTGACTGTGCTGAAGGCAGGATCGGCACGCACGGGCGCCGGGCTGCGATGCTCTCGCGTTTCCGCACGCAACAACGTGCCCGTGGTGTCGTCCGCCAGCGTGGGGACGTTGTGAACCAAAAATGAAGGTGAGCCTGGAAACCAGTGCTGCTGGAAATGCGTGGTTCAAACCGGAGGGGATGCGGAGAGGAGAGCTCTTGTAGCTTATAACCCGGGAGGGGGTGCAGGGACTGGCTGGTGCTGGGGCGGAGAAAGAGGTTTGGAGCTCGGCTGGGTGATGATGATGTTCAGCAGCTGCTGACTAGGGACTGACACTCCTTGGCTGCCTGCACTGACATCGCGTCCACTGGGATGTGGACCTGGGCCTTTGAATCGTGGTACGCCTTCCTGTAAAGCCGGTCGTTCTGCAGCAACATGGCACGCGCGGCGCACATCAGCTTGGGATCCTCCTTGGCAGTTCGGCACCCAATGTAGTGGCCTTTCTGCTTCTCGTGCGTTTCTTTGTACTTGTACTAGAAATGCAAAAAAAATATTGAAGGAAATAGTGAATCTGAGATGAATTTCTCATAATTTCATCCTGCTACTGATCTTAAATGTACTTTTTATGTTATGAAATATACTCATTTAGAGCTTAGAAATGCCTAGCGCATTCTTGCTCCCCAGCTTTTTTTTTTTTTATTATTTTAGGTAGTCAGGAAAGCTTGCTCACCTACCGAGCTGCAACTGGAGATAATTACAGTCTGTATCAAGCGAGAAACAAAACATGTTTTATAGCTCTCTTGTTTTCCCTTGGGGGATTTTGCCACCATTTGAGAATTTTGTATCTTTTTTT